AATGGTGATCAAGAACATTATAATGATAAAAGCACTACATTAATTAAGCAGAACATATGTGTCGCATATTGGTGGTATAATCCTACCACCAATTAGAATGAAGTTTCTTCTTTGATGCTAATTGACGATCTTGGACACATAGCAATTACTAACAAATATGGACTTAAAAATATTAATATTCAAATTAAGTATTAGAAATACAAAATAAAGTTAAATTATAAAATTTGAGTATGTGCTTGAAATTATAAGTCTATCAAATTCTTTTAAATAAATTTTCAAAAATCGGGTGAAATATGAAACTAGCATATTAGTTTACCGTTTTATTTATAAAAATTAGCTTCTTTTTCACGATGAACTATACTTCATTATTAATGAACTACATTTTATATTTTGCGTAATGTTTTTTATTTTTATGTGGGTATAAAGAAAAACTTTTCTGGCCGTTCCTTTAGAGGAGTTTTACGAGTCCGGAAATGCCTCGCCAAATGTCAGGAATTTCCATTTCGAGCCAAAGTGCGGATATGAATATGCAGACAGGAAAATTACGGAGATGAGGGAGTTTAATTAAAAAGCTCCAGTTTTCAGGAAGGGGGAAATATTCCAACGAATTAAATTCTGGCGTCAAGTATGGCGACTTGTCGTGTATCTTAATAATATCGTTTTAAGCTTTACATAACAAATTTCCATGCTGTAACAAACCATGGTATTATTCAAGAATAATAAGCAAAGTTAAGAATATAAGCTGAAGTTTTGGATTTCAGCAAATTCAAAACTTCTTCCCACAAAATCAAATTTGTTTTAAATTAATGCATTTGTAACAATTCGTTTTGTATTTTTTCCAATGTGAATAATATTTATAGATATATAACGTTGTCCAGTCATAGGCGTATTTAGAGTGTGGGTAAACAGTGTGATTCTTGCTGTTGGCTTGCAATGAAATTACTATTTTTTGAAAAATGAGCATATTTAGTGGTTTGGTTTGATTTGCCTCTCTCCGGTCATTTAGTGCACACTTTAGGCTAAATAGACCGGGACCTGCAGTTTAACGTGGATTCCGAATCACTCACAAACATCCATGCCCCCGCCAGGATTCGAACCTGAAGCCTTCGGTATCAATTTCCAGGGCGGTAGCCAGTTTGCCATCAGGCCACGTATATTTAGTGGAGATTGTGCATGAGAGCATCTTGCATAAAAGCTATTTACTCTTATTTGCCACCCTTAAGATATAAAGTTGCTGTGCTACTATCCTTGATAGTCCTACTGCAAAATATTATGATCCCTTTCTTCATTGTAAAGCAGTCAAGAAAATTCAATATCCTGTAATGTTCGATTCGTGGCTCAGTTGTAAAACCGCATTCAGACAAGAGAACGAGACAAGCGAGTAATTCTCGCTGCGAGTGTTGCTGTCTAGCCACGAGAAACAAGCCACGTTATATATCGCTGCAAGTGACAGCTAGTCGATAATTGCGTCAGAGAAAAATCCCTTTGATATGCGGATAAAACCGACTTCGTTTGGAGCGGAGAGAGAGACAGTTGAATCACACCGAGGATTCTTTTCCCACTGAGTTTTAATTGGTTCGCGAAAACAACTCGCTTTTCTCGTTCTCCCACCTGGACGTGTCTTAAAGTGCATACCCTACGCACAGGAGAGCTCATGTCTGATGTTTCACTTGGTATGTGTCTTGTTTCAAAAAAAAAAAAAAAAATGAGGAGGTCCGATGGTGTTTGTGATCTTCAGCATCTTGTCTCGTGAGTCAAACTGTCTGATGGGAGTTTTATCCCGTACGATACGCAAATATGGGGCAGTTCTTCCTAAGAGTCCTTGCGGAAGACCCCCGCCCTCCTTCTTCAGTGACATGGAGCCAAGTTAGTCTTCTATCTACGGGTGCTTCTTCCCAACAGAAGCTGCCCTTTCTCTCTGTTACTCATGAGATGTCCGTCCCGCACTTCAGGACACTGAGGATTAGACACAACAACAACCACAAAATATTCATTTGAAAGTTTCGTGTTCGTTTCAAATTTCCTTTTCGTATTATACGTTGAAAATTGTTTTGTGTTCGTACCTCAATGCATCTCTTCCGACCCTGCAATCCGATAAAAAAAATATACGGTTTAATAATCTGTATCAGGGCCTGAATGGCCGAGTGGTTAACGCTCTGGCGCTCGGTACCACAGGTTTCGGGTTCGAGTCCCGGCGGTGCCATGGATGTTTGGAGTGGTTCGGAATCCACTTTAAATTGTAGGTCCCGGTCTAATAGGATCGTAGAGCGTTGCGGGGGCATTGTTACTCCGCGTCCGTAGCTTATCTTCAAGTGACACGCGCCGCCTGGGTCATGCAAAGTGAGTAACGTCTGTGCAGCGCTTGCCTTAAGGCATCCAAGACCAAGCTGTCTAAGTGTTTGCCAGCTGCATTAGAACAGAAATAATAATAATCTGTATCACCCCTCAGGTTTTGTCCCATAATCGTTGCATCCCCCTACATACAACAAGAGATGCTTCGATTGGTATTAGTCTTCTTATTATATTGTGCAAATGCAAATAGATTTATAATAAACGAAATATATCAACGTTCTGTTTCTTCCGTGCATTTTTTTTCTGTCATATTATTAAATTCCTTCAATGAATCTCAAAGCATGAGAAAAGTTTTTTAATCATAAATTATATGACTCTTATTTTTGTTTCAATGCTTAAAAAAGTTAACAATTAATACCCTATTTTATCTACATGTTCAAAAGTATTAATACGCTGCAACGTAATATTTATTTAAAACAAATTATTTATTTTATATTTTTATTTTAAGAGGCACCGAAATTTTATATATAGATAGTGTTGTAACTTGTAATTATCCTATTGCGTGTGGGCAGGGTGTATTTCCTTTTTTTTGTATGAATCCAGGAATGGTAGATAACGCCACCTCCCGTTCCCACGGTGAGGTCCAAAACTAAACCGGTCGGTGTGGTGGGGGTGATAGAAGACCCCTTTTGAGTTTTGCGGGCAGGAAGGAAGACCCCGTTGAGGAAGGAGAGAGAGAGAGAGAGAGAGCTATCTGGAACAGGGCCTGAGCCTGTACACATATTTTTTGCTGCGAGAATGGCTACAGGGATAATCTATATCCATATCCATATCCATCTATATATTTTGCTGTGAGCCCATTCAGAGATCGGTTTTCGACGCTACTGGTAAATCACTGCCTACACACACATGGGGATATTTCATTTGAGGTATGCGTAATATTATGATTATTTCTCTATAAACATTTTTTATTAATTCTGTTTTAAGTGCCAATTTAAAATCCTGTAAAACTCCTAAATTTAAGTGTAATTGTATATATTAGTATTCATTAAAAGTAAAAGTAAATTAGTTGCTTGTTTTAGTATTGATTTTCGTACTTATTTTAATTGTTTTTTATTTATGTTAAATTATTTGGTCGTCCTGCGAGTATACGCAGACTAACGGCATCATTTCTATGTCGGCTCTAACAGATAGGTTAAAATAGGGTTCATTTGCAAATATCCATTACATATATAGTATACTTGCAACTATGCTAACATCTTAAAAAGTAGGATTTAAAGCTAACCAATTTAAAATCGAATTTCATTCTGCATAATATTATAAAAAATAAACCTCTCTTATTTGAAAAATAAAATCCACATTTAATTCTTTCAAATTTTTCAAATGAAAAGATATTAACTTTAAAAAAAAAAAAATAATATCATAGCTTTTTTTAAAAAATTATTTTTATGCTTCCCATAAGTACAGATTAGTCGTTCTAAAACATTATTTTTTATTCAATATCTAAAACTTTTTTCAAAGCATTAAATGTTTTCAAGTCAACTTGGATTTATCCAAAAGTAGCCACAATTATTTTAAATACTTTTATAAAACTAATTTTTTTATTGGAAAAAAATTTCTCAGAAAATTTTTTTTTTTACGTTTTGATAACTAACTCCATTAAGTTAAAAACAAACATCAAAAAAAAAAATACTCAAAATTTTTAAGAGCAACCAGCGAATATCAAAAAAGTTTATTTCTTGAAAACTTGAAAATATCAATTTTAAAGAAACATAAGAAATTAACGATGTTATTTGGAGTTGTGCCTTTTCAGCAAATATCCAGAAATGGCCGTCATTATTTTCTTGCACTCTTAAAAAAATGACTCGATTACGTTTATATATTTTATTCGAGCGCATAAAAATGCTGAAATATTCCAGACTTTAAGGTTTTTTTATTTATTCATCAAGTTAATGCTAAAAATACAATACAAATAAACTAATACTGTCGTTTTCATCCTACTTGAGTGTTCTTTACAGTTACAGTTATCATAAAAGCAGACTATATTAAAGCTTTATTATGATAGTAAAACTTGTAAGAATAACATTTAACAAAATAAGCTTTAAAGAAATTTTTTTTTATTTCTTTTTTTAAGTTATTATGCGAGACATTTAAAAAATAGACGAATAGCCTTTAAAGTATCACGGACAGTATCATTTTGCTCTATTTCACTAATACATTTATGATCTTTATTTTCAATTTACTTTTAGAATAAATTTTACTCCCTAAATTAGAAAATATTTTAATGTATTTTGCGACGTCAGTTAAGACTTGTAAGAAGACTGACGTCGAAATCTTTACAGTTAACTTTGTAAAGACTTCGACGTTAGTTAACTGGAAAATGACATTATGTTACATAAATTGTAATAAAGTATACTAGTTATGCATGTTGTTGTTTCTTTTCCCACTTGGCTGGCCAAGCCCACGAGCCCATACGTACTCATGATTGAAGGGGAAGGAAGCAGCTTCTGTTGTGATGGAGCACCCGTAGGTAGAAGTCTGACTTTGGCTCTGTGACGCTCTTACAGTCATAGGAGACCGGGACCTACGGCTTAAAGTGGTTTCCGAACCACTACAAACATCCCTGGCACCTCCGGGATTCGAACCCGAAACCTGTGGCGCCAGAGCGCTAGACACTCGACCATTCAGGTCCCAAATGTGTGAATGCCAACGGCACGCGGTGTTCCCAGGTGGTCACCCACCCAAGTACTGACCACGCCCAATGATGCTTGACTTCGGTGATCTAACGAGAACCGGTATATTCAGCATGGTATGCCGTTGGTTGAGTTATAAAGTATACTAGTTATGTAATATATATATATATATATATTCCCATGATCCAAAACCCTCTCTCGAAGCCGTTATAGGTCTAGTACATGCTACTTGTCAATGCTATTCTTCTGACCTTGCTCCAACAGATTACCATCTTTTTAGAAGCTCAAATAATAATTTTGAAGGACTATTTTTGACATCAATAAAAAAAGTGGAAACGGAGCTACAAATGAAACGAAATGAATCCTTTTAAACTTTTTTTTTAATATGAAATTTGTTTAAATGAAACGAAGATAAACCATATCAGAGGAATTTTACAAATAAAAAAACTTCCGATAGGTGATGGGGATGTCGATTTATTTTATTCTAGTTACATGTTATATTTTTGTCTTTAAAATATTGCATATTCATTAAGGTGAGCAAAATAATTATATTTCATTTTTTTCATCCTTCTTACAATTTTTTCAAATAATTAATTAATTAATAATTCTAAGAGACATAGCCTATGATTTTGGAATATTTTTAATAATTTATTTCAATAGCAATATAATTTACCTTTGCGCTTTACCTTTTGGTTTATGACATTGTAAATCCTGGAATCGAGTATCAAATAAACAAAATGGGAATTATTTCCAAGAATGAAAGCGGCCTGATGGCTAATTGGATAGTATTCTCGCCGTTATTACCACAGGCTTCAGGTTCGAATCCAGGAGGTGGCATGAATGTTTGTGAGTGATTCGGAATCCATGCCAAAATGTAGGTCCCGGTCTAATTAGTCTAACTTGTACATGAAATGACTGTAGAACGACAAACCAAACCAAGAATGGAAATAAAATATTAAATTGAAGTATGGTACGAATAACTATCGAGTGGCAAATGGACAAACCAGACGTATTCAACACAGGGATGTAATAGGTGTGGAAAGATAACTTCGGATGATTTTTGTTTGTTCAATTTCTCGTTTTTGTGATTGTTTTCTAATATTTGCGCTTTGTTTCGTTTTAGTTTATTGAAAATATATATTAAAAAAATTTTATATTAAAATTATATATTAAATTTTATATTAAATATATTAAAATTTTTTTGTCTGACTAACACCCCTTAAAAATAATCGAATCATTCTCTTCCGCTTTTAAATCAGATGCTTACCTCTCCACAGATTGTGTGGTAGAACTACAAGAATGAGCCAAAAGAATCATTGCTATTTTACTGTATAATTGTATCGGGTGCTATTGAATGAGAGACAACGTTGTCATAAAAGAGCTGTTACGCTACATGTATCAAAAATTGTCATTAAAGAAAATACACATTTATGATTCTGGTTGCTTCAGGTTAAGCTGGCCCACTTGCTGATTTGGAGTTTTGAAATTCGCCAGGTGTTCCTCGAGTTGTAGTTGAGTCGATTAGATCCACCCACTCCTCCCCCATACATACTTCCTTGGGGAAAGATGGAAAAAGAAGCGACTCTCCTCTCTCCGTCCTTTAATCTAAAACGAGAAACGATGTTCCCGGATTCAAGGCGGGGTGGGGACTTCAGAAGTTGCTTCTGATGTCAGCGGCGTCGGATCAGAAGAGAGCGTCATTGCATTTTCCGGGTTTGTTCTTATGGCTGCAGTCCACAGCGTAATCTGGATTGTTTTGTGCAAGTTTGTTACATTTTTGATGCATAGAATGTATTGTGGGTACCTTCAGTAAAATACCGCAGTTTGGACAAAAGGAAAACAGATTGTACTCTACAATTGAACCTCTACAAACATCCATGGCACCCTTTTTACACACCTATACACCATTTTTCGCCGGGACTCGAATCCGAAACCACCGAACGTCAGAGCGCTGGCCACTCTACCGTCAGACCCCATATATTTGAAATTAAGTATATAATTAGTATTAAAAGAGCAAAAGAAAGAATTAGTATGTATATTTAAGGACAAAATAGTTAATAAATATAATTAAAAGAAAAAAATTAGTATATATAATTAATAAGTGGTGTAGCCTACAATGGATCTCTGATCAGTGGGTTTTGTTTTGTTTGTCGCTCAAAGGTCATTTTTTGCACACTTTGAACTAATTAGACCGGGACCTGCAGTTTAGCGTGTATTCCGAACCACACACAAACACCCATGCCACCGCCACGATTCGCACCTGAAGAATATGGTACCAAAGTCAGACTTTGATGAAAAAGAAGCGACTCTCCCGTCTCCGTCCTCCATCTGAAACGAGAAACGATGCTCCCGGGTTCAAGACGGGGGCGGCGACGCACTTCGGGAGTTGCTTCTGATGACAGCGTCGTCGGATTAGAAGTCGGAGCAGAGCGTCATTGCGTTTTCTGGGTTTATTTTTATGACTAGAGTCCTGGGCTTAATCTGGATTATTTTTGTAAGTTTGGTACTTTTTGATTCAAAGAATGTGTTGTGGGTAACTTCAATAAAATACTGCCGTTTGGACAAAAGGAAAAAAGAATTCCATGTTTCTGTGATTAATTAGTAAAAGCAAAGAATTAGTATATGCAATAAGTATAGAATTAGTATATGCAATAAGTATAGAATTAGTATTAAATGAATTAGTATATATAATTATTATCATTTTGACAAAGTTAGTATCATTGCAATATCATTTTGCAGTCTGCAGTATCATGTTGACAAAATTAATATCATTGCAGCAGCATTTTATAAAAGTTAGTAGCATTGTAGTATCACTTTGCAATCTGCAGTATCCTTTTGACACAGTTGTATAGTTAGTTGAGGAAACAATCTCTCTCTATCCTTTCTTCCGTTTAATTTTCGTAATTCTATTAATTTTACTATTGGACCATACGACTCAACGTTTTGTAACGGAGGGGCTGGAGCTGTTTTGCTGCTCCCCGACGAGCAAAAAAGTGAGATAGCTGCCGGTGAAGGAAAAATTGCCTCACACTTCACAGGAGGATTGTTGGCCGTACAAAAGGCAGAGTCAGTATCTGAGTCTTCCTACATCACAACACATGAATGGAATAACTATCTTACATGGTCTTCCTTACCTGAATAAAGGTCTCTCAAGTATGATCTTGAACATTATATTACGTTTAGAACAAATCTACTGCTTGCACATAATGCGTATCCTGCATTGAATACCTGCTCATGCAGATTTGGAATTGAATGAATTTGTAGATTGTTTGGCGAAGTCTGCCAGAAGACATTCCTCCTTCCCTTGCAGATGCAAATACCTTGGTAAAATATAAACATATAATTATTTCTAAGATCAATACTAAATACCAAATTACAGAACACAATGCCGACAGAAAAACAGCTGCTATTCTCCCAAGATGAAGGATGAAACATCACAAAAAATAGGAAAATTTCTGCTGAGGACATTAAAAAATACCGGGCCAGAATGGCCGAGTGGCTAGCGCTTGGTACCACAGGTTTCGGGTTCGAGTCCCGGCGGTGCCATGGTCGTTTGTAGTGGTTCGGAATCCACTTTAAAAAGTAGCTCCCGGTCTAATAGGATCGTAAAGCGTTGCGGGGGCATTGTTACTCCGTAGCTTATCTTCAAGTTACACGCGCCCCCTGGGTAATGCAAAGTGAGTACGTCTGGGCAGCACTTGCCTTAAGGCGTCCAAAGACCAAGCTGTCTGTGTTTGCCAGTTGCATTAGAAATAAAGAAAAAAACATTAAAAAATACCAAAACTGTGGCAACTGCCCTGATGTCGAGCTGTCTCCTCATCCTGTCTTTGATTGCCCAGCTGTTGCAGCCGCTATGCTTCTTCTGGATCACCCCTCAGAAGAGAATTCATACTCCGAGCTGACGACGAGCATAGAAAATATTATTAGGGACCACCACGATTTTATTTTCTTGTGTTCTTTAGGGGATACGAAAACAAAATAAATGAATAGTTTAAAAAAACTAAAAAACACGCTTTTAGAGTTAATCAAACTAAAAAGTAAAAAATAAATGAATAGTTTAAAAAAACTAAAAAACACGCTTTTAGAGTTAATCAAACTAAAAAGTAAAAAATAAATGAATAGTTTAAAAAAACTAAAAAACACGCTTTTAGAGTTAATCAAACTAAAAAGTAAAAAATAAATGAATAGTTTAAAAAAACTAAAAAACACGCTTTTAGAGTTAATCAAACTGAAAAGTAAAAAATAAATGAATAGTTTAAAAAAACTAAAAAACACGCTTTTAGAGTTAATCAAACTAAAAAGTAAAAAATAATTGTTAACATAAGAATAAAATGACTGACGAGAAAATGAGTGTCACTGTTTTAAAAGCGTGGGGTGCTCGATATCAATCGTTATAATTTTTCACCAGTTTCCTTCCGAAATGCAGAGTTAGTTTAAAAATGTCATACAAAGCACCCCACGCTTTTAGAACAGTGACATTCATTTTCTCGTCAGTCATTTTATTCTTATGTTAACAATTATTTTTTACTTTTCAGTTTGATTAACTCTAAAAGCGTGTTTTTAGTGTTTTTAAACTATTCATTTATTTTTTACTTTTCAGTTTGATTAACTCTAAAAGCGTGTTTTTTAGTGTTTTTAAACTATTCATTTATTTTTTACTTTGATTAACTCTAAAAGCATGTTTTTTAGGGTTTTTAAACTATAATATTTAAATGAGGTCCCGGTACGGAGGACTGGAAGTATAGTTCTTACAATAATGTAGTTGTGAGTAAAACAAAGGCTATCGCTTAAAGTAGGGCAAAATCGAGCCCAAAGATTCAGTTACAAACAAACATACAGGTGAACCTAATATAAAAGCGTATTAAAAAGAATAAACTGTTTTCTTTCTGAAGACGCCTGTAAATGTTTCTTTGCAGCTTTAGTAGTGTATATGAGGAGAAACAAATCTCCAGGGGAAAAAGTTACATACATACAAGCATACAAACATACAGGTGAAACTAATAAAAGCGTATTAAGAAAAAAGCAAAGAAATCAGGTTTAGCTATAAAATTAAAATAGTACACCTAATAATCTTTTTCTGTTAGCTTTTTAAAGTGAATTCGAATTCGGAGTTATAGTGGA